GTCATGTTTCTACCCCTCTTGTTACCTGATTATTAATTCATTTGCCCCACCTGTTTTGTTTCTGATTAGTTTGTCTTTATAGCCCCTTTATTGCTAGTTGCTGGTTTGTTTTCTTTATGTAGGACGTTTTTATTTTAGTTAAACTTAGAACATACATGATATAAAAATGGGGAAAACTGAACTGAAACTAAATAAACTGAATAAAAATATCAACTAAGTGAAACAGAAACGTATATCGGTTTCTTTATGTTTGGAAATAAAAGACCTTCAGAAATTGCATTTTGGTTATCGCTTAAATTATTATTACGAATGTGACAATCCTGACACAACATCTGCAAAACACAATTCTTAAAAGTGAAATACAATATCTTACAAATATTTTTAAAAATACAACTCTAAACATGTTTTTTCTGTAGATAATCTTGTTACTTTGTTTTATTCTTCTGTCCTCCCAGCAGGCACACAGTGTTATAAGACGTGAATATTAGGTTAGATTTAGATCACCAGCGTCTAAGGACAACGTTATTTTGACATCCAATAATTATGCGAAATGATGTTAATATTTTGTTGATTTTAGGATGTGTTAGAAAGTGACCAAAATCCAGCATCTAGTCAACATCTTAAACCAACGTCATATTGATGTCAAAACCTGACATTTGTTCATCAAGTATGGCAACCAAAATCCAAAGTCTAATAGACTCCATATTGGTGACGTACACACTACATCAAGTTGTAACATCGTTAGACGCTGATATTTTGTTTATTTTACATTGCGTAATAAAGTGACCAAAATGCAATGTCTGTTCGATGTTGGACATTGACGTCAGGCTGATGTTGGATTCTGAGATCAACCTGATTTTAACTTCTAAACAAAATGTAACATCCCACGACGTTGGGGTACAATGTTAATCTGAAGTCATGTTGACGTCCTGTGCTTGCTGGGTTGCACCATCAGATAAAGTTTGGTTTAAAACAATATTCCCGACTCTTCAGCTGATTATTTTGAGTAAGATATAGATTTAAATAACTAAAATATAGTTACCACTAGAATAGTTCCCTATTTTTATGCACAATAAAATAAAAAATAGGACTTTTGCTTTTTAATAGAGGCCTACTTGACATCTTAAATATTTTGAACCACATACATTAAAAACTTGATTACTTTGAGGTATACTTTTTTCGAGAAAGATTTTTTAAATAATCTGTGAGTAATGAAGGAAAATGCTAAAATCTTTACTTCCTCTAATGTTGGCCTATTGTAACCATCCCATGTGAGAAGACAGTGAGAAGGATGGAAAGGGTCGGGGCCTTTAAAATAGATCATAATTTCTAATTTAACGTAACCTATTTTGTTTGTTTTATTGCTGAATATACAAAAAAGCTGGCTGAAACGATTCATTAATGTTTCAATTGTTTTAATTAAAAGTTGGATATGAATTTTTTTTTAAATGTAAATCATTTCCCTCGGCAGATAAGAAGACATCAGTGAGCAAGTCAAGGCCTAAATTAGTGTAAGTTCATTCTGTTGTAAATTAAATTATTTTTGTATTGACTGTAATAGGTTCATTATTAAATATGATCGACGCATGGTTTTCTAAATTACACTCCGGTAATTGAGGATCTATGTGCTAGATATAAAGAGAAGCATATTGTGTGATATGTTTGTAGGTATAAATAAGCTTGCCCTTTTTCTTTTTAATTACCTGATCAAATGCCAAATCTGTAAGTTTACGACGACCACCTCCCAGTTCATTACCACGTCTGCTTTCGTTAGCGGCTATAACTGATCATCGCATCGATTTTTTCAGTTGGCTCTTCAAATGTTAAATAATTATTCTTTATTAGTTCATATAATGCTATACATAGTTACTTTTAAATATTAAAAAATAAATTAGAAAATTACCAATGGCAACTATATTTACCTCCGGCCCACTAGCCTTATTTAAGATTGTTTTTTGGCCTTTATAAGAAAATGTTTGGACACCCCTGCTCTCCTCCGTTCTTGTAGTCGACAGCGCCATCTGGTGGTTTGAATGTAAACCGAACAAGGAAGGGAAAGCCAACATAACTAACATTCTTGATAAAAAAAGGGTCCCAGAATACTGAGGGTCATGCCTGTAGACTGAAAAAAAGGAAAAACGCCCAGCCCCGCACATGTAATAAGGGTCATTTTACAGAAATGTATATTTATCTGCACTAATGCCCCTAGTCTTAATATAAATATTACATTTAAAATTACTTACACAGAATTCCAATCAAAACAGCCATGCACTGAGAAAAGGTGCTTTATTTTCAAGTCTAAAACTATCTTTATTTTTAAAAAGGCGTATTGTAACATTGGTACTCTCTTTTCAGTTATCAAAAATGTATCATATTTATCGCATTTAGCTGACATCTGGTATGACCATTGCTTGAGTTTGATGGCATGTTTTGTTAGTTTTATTATAAAACTAATGTTGCCACATTTGTTTACTATTAATATATGTTTATTTTCAGACATCCCATCATGCATAAAATTATTGATAGAACATAAAAATGTGTAATAATAATAATAATAATAAGAAGAAGAAGAATAGCAATAATAATAATAATAGTAATAATAATAGGATATAGTTAAATAATTTACAATACAGAGCTATGTACATTCATTATGCCTTGCATGTAAAAAGAAAACAACTGTTTATTGCAACACATCAATTAAATCATCATTTTTGATCACAGTGTTTGATTTTCATTACCTTCAAGTTTTCATTAACTTGTATTATCATCTGACTACAAAGATCTTTCCCTTTATTTATCATAATATAAACAGTTTACAAAAGCATATTCTTTACAAAATGCTATATACAGTTGAAGTCAGAATTATTAGCACCCCTGTTTATTTTTTCCCCTGTTTTTTGTTTAATGGAGTGGAGATTTTTTTCAACACATTTCTAAACATAATAGATTTAATAACTCATTTCTAATATCTGATTTATTTTATCTTTGCCATGATGACATTAAATAATATTTGACAATATTTTTCAAGATCCTCGTATTCAGCTTAACTTGGCAGGTTAGGGTAATCAGGCAAGTTATTGTGTATTGATGGTTTATTCTGTAGACTATAAAAAATAAATAAATAAAAAAAGCTTAAAGAGGCTAATAATTTTGTCCTTAAAATGTTGTTTAAAAACTGCTTTTATTTTAGCCGTAATGAAACAAATAAGACTTTTTCCAGAAGACAAAATATGATCAAACATACTGTGAAAATGTCCTTGCTATATATATATATATATATATATATTTAACAGAGCAAAGAAATTTTCACAATATGTCTGTCAATATTTTTTCTTCTAATGAAAGTCTTGCTTGTTTTATTTTGGCTACAATAAAAGCAGTTAATAATTTTTTAAAAACCATTTTAAGGACAAAATTATTTGCCTCTTTAGGCAAATTTCTTTTCCGATAGTCTACAGAACAATCCATCGTTATACAATAACTTGCCTAATTACTTTAACCTGCCTAGTTAACCTAATTAACCTAGTTAAGCCTTTAAATGTCACTTTAAGCTGTATAGAAGTGACTTGAAAAATGTCTAGTCAAATATTATGTACTGTCATCATAGCAAATATAAAAATAATCAGTTATTAGAAATTAGTTATTAAAACTCATAAAAACTCAACTTATATTGTTTAGAAATGTGTTGAAAAAATCTTCTCTCCGTTAAACAGAAAACAGGGAAAAAAATAAACAGGGGGGCTAATAATTCCGACTTCAACTGTATATATATATATATATATATATATATATATATATATATATATATATATATATAATAGCATTGTAACTGCAACCCATCTCTGGGTAACTGCAACCCATCTCTGGGAAACATCCATACACACTCATTCACACTCATACACTATGGACAATTCACCTGTACTGAGCTCCAACTCCTCCTCCTATAAGAGCTCAGCTCTGGCCAAGTGGCTCTGCAGTGAGTACCACTTGGCTAAATATGACCCTATAGTGTATGTGTGCGAATGAGAATGTATGGATGTTTCCCAGTGATGGGTTGCGGCTGCAAGGGCATCCGCTGCGTAAAAAATGCTGGATAAGTTGACCCCAGATTAATAAAGGGACTAAGCTGAAAAGAAAATGAATGAATAAATAAATGGGTTTTCCTTCTTCAGGCCATTCTTCAGACTGATGAATGCTCCCGGTTGCCAGGTTTTCACAACAAAAGTATCACAGAACCCAGTCAAAAAGAGCCCGAAACTAGCCCAATAATATTAAAATATTTCACCACACAATTGTCTGTATTTAAATATATATCAATATAATTAATGCATTATGTCAAACTAAAACAACTACTGGCAAGTAGTTAAAAGTAGCGCGGATTTGACAATCTCCTTCAGTCCAGAAAGCAAAATTAAAGTCCGACTATTAGTGACAGACAAGACGTCCAGTTGTAAACTTGTGTTAAACAAGAAGAGTGTTCATAAACACATTTTTGCTTAAAATCAAGATATAATGTTAACGCAGTCCATGACCAACAGTAAAGATCTAGCAATGCACAACGTTAATCTATAAGCAATCTGGGGAAAATTAAAAACGTTATATATTTTATTAAATTTACATGATAATTATATAAAATTTGTATATTTTATTATGAAGAATTTTTGAGCATTACTACATTTAAATTAAATTTTGTTTACGCTGGCATTGCAGTTCCATCAGCAAGAACGAAACAACGTCAAAGCGGGTTCCAACTGTAAAGACTGTAGTAATGTCTCACTTTAAATTTTGACCTAAATTAGTTAAACAAAAAACTTATTTTGCAACCACACAGTAACCATAAAAAACAATGTTTTGTCGATACACTATATTTTTGCTGAAGGAATATATAAAAACGTACAATTAATGTTATTTTACCGACTCTGCTTTTTGGGAATCGCAGTATATGTATTACGGTAATAAGCGCGTCACAGCCTCACGCTGCTGTTCCTTCATGTTTGTTTACAAGCACAGATTCGATGCAATAATGTGCGCCTTTTAACAAAGCAGGAGCCTTGCTGTAGTCAATTATGCTGTACTTAAATACCTTTTTGCCAAGTGTTTGCAGACGCTGTTTTGCAGAGAATCTCTTATGGAGAAGAGGATTGACTACTACACAGAGTATATTCTTCTTATTGACCTACACATTATGTTCCTGCTTTACATTTCACAATCCCAAAGTCTTTACAGTCGATCGTGGTTGTCTGCATACGTACTAGTTAATTAATTAATTATCAACTGTAAACAATATTTTAATAAGACGTTTGAAAGGTTTGCTTTTTTAAGTGCGTTGTCTGTAATGCTGGTGTTTCTTTTTGATTCAGTGGTTGGAGAGAGAGTTAAAATGATGCTTTTCCTCAGATCTGTCAAGAACAAAGCTCGTTCATCAAAAGACTCTGTCACATTTCCCTCATGCACAGAAGGGTGCTGCATTTCTTTCACAGTTCATTTATTGCCCGTAAGTATTGCATATAATCCTGCTAAAGAACTGAAATGTATACATTGGAGAATTACAAATCTGTTTTTGGGGGTCACTAAGGTGCAGAGTTTATTGAGGTAAAGTTGGTTTTATATTCGCACATTCATTCAGTGACAACTTTCCTATTTTGTTTACCATGGTCAAATATTCGGCTTGAAATTGTATGCAAGTATGACTTGGAAACAACATAAGGACTATTTAATTGATTGTGAACAATGTTGTACTTTGATAGTCATTGGATGCTCATATATTTGAAATTTGCAAAGAATACTTACTAAAATGATATTATTAAGGAGAAAGTCCAAATGTGTGATTATAAAACCAACTTTACCTCAATGCAGATTTTAACATTATTTGTAATTAAATATACCTAAAGTAGCTAAATAAAGGTATTCAGATCAGAGATTATCTGCATCCAAATATGCCTACTACTGTATTATTTAGAAGAGTATGCAAGAAATAATATGTGAGCTTGATAGTATGGCTAAATGCATTGTATTCTTAAAATATTATGTGAGAAGTGTCCTGCAGGCTTACTACATCAGATGTGATTCTGTACACCTACTGAACACTTTTCTGCCCCTTAAGGAAACAGGAGAATATTTATTATTTACCACAAAGCTAATGTTGTATGTCACTTGACAGTGAAAAATGGTGGATGATTTGTGTTAATGTCATTTTAAGTTCAGATAAATTCCAAACCAAACTTAGAATTTGCACTCTAGACCATTTTAATGTGTTCATGTCGTTGGCCTACGAATATTTCTTGCTTGTTGTCAAACTATTTCATATCTGTAACAACAAGATTCAATCATAACTTTATGTTATAATAGTTATTGTAACTTTATTCATCAATATATGGAACTTTTTGGACTCTCAGAAGCTATGGAAATTTAAAATGTAAAACAAAAAATACATCAGGACCATTGTTATTGTTTACATCTCTCAAAATGCTCTATACAGTATGTAATGGTGTTTGCATTGGGAGATACAATGTTCTGCAGCTCTTATCAGAGAAAATGTAATCACCAACTTTTATCATGTTTATTTTTATAACAAATCACATCACAGCCTCTTTGTAAATATGGAGTAAGCGGGTGAGTATCTAAAGATAAACCTTTTATTATTTTTACAAATTCTAAATTTAATAAAAACCCTTTTAAAAGATTTACCTAATATATCAAGCTATATGTAAAAAAGTAGATTTGTGTGTGTATTTAGTGACATTTTGTCATCAAATTATTAATTTAAAGAGTCCAATTAAACTTATTCTCAAGTCGAGGTAAAGTTAGTTTTATATGCCCACATTTGCTCTGTGACAACTTTTAACATGCTTGCTATATTGTTTACTATAGTACTTTATATTTTTGGTACAAATTCAGTTAGGTCCATAAATATTTGGACGTCAACCCAATTCTAACATGTTTGGCTCTATACACCAACACAATAGATTTGAAATGAAATAAACAAGATGTGCTTTAACTGCAGACTGTCAGCTTTAATATGAGGGTATTTACATCCAAATCAGATGAACTGTGTTGGAATTATAACAGTTTGCGTATGTGCCTCACACTTGTCAAGGGTCCAAAAGTAATTGGACAGTTGGCTTCTAAACTGTTCCATGGCCAGGTGTGTGTTATTCACTCATATTTCAATTTCAATGAGCAGATAAAAGGTCATCAGCTAAAGCACATCATGTTCATTTAATTTCAAATCCTTTGTGTTGGTGTAAAGAGATAAAAATCTTAGAATTGATTCTATGTCTAAATATTTATTGACCTAACTGTATTTGGTCTGAAAGCACATGCAAGTATGACTTCAAAACAACATTAGCACTATTTATTTGACTGTGAACAATGTTTTCCTTTGATAGTCATTGGCTGCTACTTTGATTCACTATATAGAATCAGTATATAGAATTAACTTTACCTCAATTATTTTCATCTGTCTCCACCTCCTGAAGCAAACATTCAGCTTCAATTATCATGAAATAACTAAGTCAAATTTATTTTTTTTGTGTTTACTCTACTGAGTTAAATATTTGCATGAAACTTCTGTATTATTTATAATTTCAGTTAATCACCTATTGCAGTGTGATTATAGTAATTTTTAATGCAGTCATTTTTATTAAAGTATTTTTATAGTCATCATAAAAATATTAATTTTGTGTCTGTCCCTACATACTGCTACAGTAAACTTTGCTTCATTGTTTATTAAAAGGCATTAAAATATGTAAAGCACTGAGAAAAAGCTCAAAATGATGTCACTTGCAGTGGCAGGAATCTCTGGAAGTGATGTTGATATTCCTTTCTCGTAATTTTTTACAATATGTTTTTGATACATTAATAGTAGTATAATTACTTGTCAATATATTTGATTAATTATGACTTTTAAAAATAGTTATATGATGAAAATACATAAAACTCTATTTTAGATATGCCATGTATAGGCATGGGAGGATAACCGGGTTCAAGATTTACCGCGGTTTGGAAAAGTCAAGGTTTTATTATAGCTAAAATGTTCTGTTTTACCGTTCCCAAGGTATATGTAAGATTTTATGTGTTGTAATCTATGTTATTGAAACTAATGAATACAGCAGAAGTTAATGATTCATTTTAACTATTTAGCTTGACATGTTTACTGTTCCAAAACATTATAGGTGTTTCTTTAAATAATATATATATATATTGTGTTAAATAGGCTAAAAAGGTTTTTAGGTTTTAAAAAGTTTTTACCCTGACATTTAAAAGGAATATAATTTAGAGCAGTAATCACAATACCGAAATACAGTGAAACCGTGGTATTTTTATCCAAGTTTATCATACCTTCAGAAACTACCAGCCCATGCCTAGCCATGTGGTATCTGGTTTGAGGTTAGCATGTTGAACTTAGAAACAAAAAGGTGGAAAAAGGCTGTCAACTCTGTTAGTGATTTCATGGTAATTTAAATGACAATTAGTAACAGAATCCATTCCCTATGACATTTAAGAATTTTACATTATTTTAGAATAATAATGAATTCATTATTTGACTATGATAGCTTTCTATAAATTATACATTTACTGTCTATCAATCCAGTTTAAATAAAATAAAAAAGGATTGAAAAATGCCTGAAACGTTCTAAAAAATTGTCCTTGACATTTCTCATACAATTAGACATGGGCCGGTATAAGATTTTAAAGGTATGATAACCTTGGATAAAAATATCACAGTTTCACGGTATTGTGAGTACTGCTCTAAAATATATATATTTTTTAAATATCTGTGTAAAAAACAATATTTTTTTCCCACTTTGAACACAATGGCTTTGTCTGAAGCAACATACTTTCATACTAAATATTACTCTAAAAACAGTATGCGAGTCGAGCAGTATGCCTGAATTCAAAGAACAGAATGTAAGAAGTACCCAGATAACCTACTACTTCCGGCAAAATTCTGAAGTGCACTATCCCCTGATCAGTGGTGTAAAGTAACAAATTACAAATACTCAAACAACTGTATTTGTGTAGTTTTCTCAGAAATTGTAATTTACTGAGTAGTTTTAAAGATGTGTACTTTTACTTTTTTTCTTAAGTAAATTTTTAGTGCTGAATTAGTACATTTACTTCACTACTTCCTTTAACCTGCAGTCACTACTTTATTTATTTTTTGTTTATGGGGATTAGAGAAATCTGTCCTGTGATTCTAACAAATTATTTTGGTGGTTTGGTTTACTTTTCCAAACTGCAGTATAACTCAAAAAACGGTTATCGTGCCATGCCTACTTTCAGTGCTTAATGACAAACAAACAAACACTATTTTGTAAGAAACCCTTTTTCTAGACTCATTAGTAAAATGTGTTGGAGTAGAAAGCTCTGGGATGTTGGTTTTCTAGGAACAGAAAACCTGTTCATTTGGAATGAATTTTGATAAAAATTTTGACTTTACAGAGCTGCCTTCATTAAATGTGGTGGAACAAGAGGCCTGTTTGGAGGAGGCCGTGACAATGTTCACCAGCAAACCCTTGAAGACATTGCAGAAAAAATCAGAGAACGCAAGTTTAAACGAATTGTGGTGATGGCAGGGGCAGGCATCAGCACACCAAGTGGAATCCCAGACTTCAGGTAAAGCAGAACTCAACACTCTCTTGTCCACAAATCCACCTTTGAGATCAGTGCAACTTAAATCTCTTTTCCCCCCACAGATCACCCGGCAGCGGCCTTTATGATAACCTTCAACAGTACAATCTACCCTATGCTGAAGCCATATTTGAAATAAATTATTTCCATCATAATCCTAACCCTTTTTTCGCTCTTGCCAAAGAGCTTTATCCTGGTAATTACCAACCCAACCTGACGCACTACTTCATTCGCATGCTTCACGATAAGGAACAGCTGCTCAGGATGTACACGCAAAACATTGATGGACTTGAGCGCAGTAAGTATATTTTAGTTTAGATCACACCATGTACTCTACACTCTTTCCACCAAGTCTTTAAAGCATAGGTATTAAACTCATTTCCTGGAGGGCAGCAGCACTGCACAATTTTGCTCCAACTAATCAAGGTAGTGCTTCCTAGAGGTGTGAAATAAACTTGCGGTGGCAGTCAGATTGAAACACACCTTTTAACTACGGCACATGGTTACGTAATTGTGACCAAAAAGTGATTTTTAACAATATTTACATTTCTTATACACTGTTTCTTTTCAATGGGTTGATTTTTTTAAAGACTCTATTTGTTTTACTTTTATTCTTTTCAGGAGCCACGTGCACACACTGACAGGTAAAGAGTGCTTCTGACATTTTGTCTCATCAAATTAAAAATATATATACAGCAAATGAGAAATAATTGACATTATGGAATAAAAACATCCATGAAATAAAAAACTCTAAAAAGTAAAACAATTACAACAATAAAAAGTAGATAGTTTAAATAAGGCAAATGAGTTAATGAACCATTTCTAACGATGTACAATCATTTTGTCGTTTAAATCAAAGAATGAATTATATAATGTTTCTCTTGGTCGCTGACAGCTGTGAAGCCAACACAAAGTAAATCAATCTTTAAAAAATAAAAATAAAAAAACAGCTTAGAAAATGAAACCGAACGCATTTTTAAGTCCTCAAAAGGTGGGACTTAAACTAGTTCCATAGTTAATCAATTGTGGATATTGGGCAGATACAAATAGAGATGTATGAAACACTGCATACGTGAAAGGATATCGCTGAGGATAGCTCTTGGAAATTAGACATGGCTAATAAGCCAGTCATTATCGTGGGTCAGAACATCACTGTGATCCCTAAAAATGTGTTTCCTTCAGATTTGACCATTGACAAGGTCCTCTAATAAGGCCAATGCTATTGCCATGGACTAAGGGTTGTATACATTTGCAAATGCTGCTATATGTTCTAAATCACATAATTGGGTTAAAAAAAAAAAAAAAAAAAAAAAAAACATATATATATATGTTGTGTCAATTAACCCATTTATTAATTATAAATGAAAAGCAATGTTTTTCACATGTGTTGGTGCGATATTTTGTAGTGTGCAATTTGACATAATTGCCTCTAGGAGTCACCAATGGAAATACAAACGCACACAAGAAATACACGTACGCCAGACATGGAGCTCTATTTTGACGTTCCATGCACAAAACAAAAAGCGCAGGGTGCAAACGCTTTCAGTGCATGTCAGAACGCATTTCTGCTAATTTAAGGATGGGAAAACCTGCTTTGCGCCATGGCGCATGATCTAAAAGTGTTGAGTTTATTTTCTTAATGAGTTATGGGTGTGTTTTGAGAATAAACCAATCAGAGTCTCATCTCCCATTTATTTGCTATTTACAGGACGTAAAGCAAGTGGAAGTGGAAAAACTGAACATTTCACAAGCAAACAGTTAACAGTCTTTTTTAACAGAAAACAGTTAAACAGAGCATCTACTGTGCAAGAATTAGAGATAATCAATCTACTTTCACTTTCACTCTTGGATGGGGAAACCTTTACGCACAGAAATCAATTAGCCTATAAATAAATAATTTTGTTTATTAAGCGCAAATATTTGTTTCAAAACTATTTCTAAATTCAGTTCTAATTTCCAGCAAACGAATAAATGAACAATAATAACAAAGTGTGTTCAAAAACTTTTATATCCTGTTTTAGTTATGCTGTGCCCCATGCTGTGCCCCATATGGTCTAAAACCTGCGGGTGGGCAAATCTAAGCTTGTTTTTAATAAAAAAAAATATATAAATATGGATATAATAAATAATACTGCTAATAATAATAATAACATTATACAAAAGCAAATTGTTATGAATGAACTATAAAAGCCTCCCGAGATGAAGAAGGCAAAAAAAAAAGACAGTGGTTTTTCATATTCATGTAAGCTAGAAAATAATATGTTTTGTAATATTTTAATCCTTTATATTTATATCCTATATATATTATTATTGTATCCTATATATTGGCCTATCCTTAATATTTAATTTTTTCATATGTAAATATATTTGTGTATTTCTCTACATCTTATGTGTAGGCTATTAAGCAGTGTGTAAGCGAGGCGCAACTCTGCGCTGGAGTTTAGACCGGGTTTGTTTTGGTCTAATGAAAAATCTATTATAGTTTCTCAAAATAGCAACGCACCAGCAGTGTGCCTCAGAACGCCTTCCTTTTTAGACCAGAACGCCTATGGGCGCACATATGAGCGCAAATGCATTTGCTATTTAAAGTGCGTGGCGCAACGCCTCAAATTGACTCTTGCGCCAAGCTGAAACTAGCAAACCAGTATTGCGCCGCGTCTTGCGCCACATTGCGCCGGGTGTATGATAGGGCCCATGAAGTTGGCGCAGACCAACGCACATTCTCAAGTTAATTTCATTGTTAGTAAATCCAAATGTGAGCGTGAAACCTGGCGAATGCAGCGTTGATACATGAGGCCCCTGGTCTGACGAGAGCACTTTTAGCTTAGCTAGACATAATGATATTATGCAGCACCTAAAGATAGTTCCCAGGTAAATAACTAGGTAGCAGTTCTATGTAATATCATCGCACCTGCTGCTGCCGTAGTACAGAGACTGAGTGAGTGAGTGAGTGAGTGAGTGAGTGAGTGAGTGAGTGAGTGAGTGAGCCACTATTGCCATCAGGGACTGCCAATGATGTCACATGCGTCATCCAATGCAGACAAACCTTTTGCAAACTTGACCTAAAACTCAGACAAGCTCAGAAACAAAGGACACAACCATACCAAAAAACAAAATATAAAACAGACCCACATAATGCTAAGCTAAAAGTGCTACTGTCAGAATATTAGATTGGCTGAATGGATATTAAAAAATGGTGAAACTCAACTGTTTAATTTGGTGACTCCAGTTTACTGTATGTAACATTAGTAGTGGTGGGCAAAGTTAGGCTTCATAAAACACTGAAACAGTCGAAGTAAAGGTTTAAAGCTTCGAAATGTTTTGAAACCTTTCTCTACAGTGACACCTAGTGCTCATTTGTTATGTGTTGCTCTGGAACAGCTACAACAAAGAAACAGTTAAACAAACTGAGGTATAAACCCTACTTTGTAGAGTTGAGGTTTCAAGTGATTTAGTGAAGCGGTGAGAGTTTCAGACTAGCATGCAAAGATAATGGGCTCGATCACAGGTTAATGCAGCTATAGATGTTAGTTTTTAAATGCTCTGTTCTTGTAACGGCTTTTGTTTCAACATTGGTCTGACATCCCAATGAACACTTTGTGATTAAATATGTCTTGTTTTAGTCATAAAAAAGTAACATTATTAAAATACATCAAGTCACAATTTCAGATTATTTGTTAGGATTTGAACTTGGGATATTTGCAGCACAGTTGCACACACGCAGTCCACTAGGCTACATAAGATAGAGCTTTTGTCCCGACCCTGTCAATCAAATGCAGATTTGCCAGGTCTCGAAACTCTTCTAAAATGGCCGATGCTTTGAGTTGCTTTCATGTGACCTGGTGTTTTGAACAGTGTTGCCAACTTAGCACCATTGTTGCTATATTAGGCGACTATTCAGACCCCCTAGCGACAATTTGTTTTTAAAAAGCGACTAGCGACAAATCTAGCAACTTTTTTGGGTGTTACTGGTTATTTTTTATAGACTGTCATATGCCCATACTTTACCATCCTTACTCTTCTCAACGAGGTGTGGGTGATGCTGTGTCGGCCCCTCCCCTGCCTTAGAGCACTGACAGGCGACCCAGTCCTCGTACAGCAGCCTCTCCCACCTACAGCCTGAGAGCCGATCACTCTGCGTACCGATGGCAAATGATTTAGCACCGACAGTGTGAGATACTTCCTTTGTACAGTCAAACAAATCTTGCTTCTCCTTTATTTTAACAATTTAATTTGATCTTTTATTCTTTTCTTGTTCACAATCACATGTTAAGTGACAGTTTCGGAACTTGTATTTTTTGTACTTGAGTTTTTTTTACGTCTGAGAAATTACTGCAAATTCACTACACATCTATAATGATATACTGTATTCAAACAGCAATAAATTTAGTTAAATTGACATGTTCACATGAAGCGTAGTGCAAATGTAAATACCCCTGTATTAATCATAGGCTGTTAAACAAACAGAGACGATATAACATGATGTCTTAAGTAATATGCAAATCGACATATGACGCAATCTAGCAACTATTAGCGACTTTTCGGGCAGAGCTTAGCATCTTTTCATTGAAAATAGTTGGCAACAGTGGTTTCGAAACACTTTGTCACGTGACCTGGGTGTTTTGGATCATGTTTTCGTAACACAAGCGCTTCAGGATCTTGACACTGTGTTGAAACGTTAGTTTCACGCTAGCCAACCCTAAGCATTAGTAGGAACATATTAAACAACATTAATATTGAATGCAATTGCTAATAATCATCTGTCATCGTTTCTTGCTTAAATTGATATTGAAATCCACATTAGTGGTGCAGTTGTTACTAGGTAGTTTGTAATCTTTTAAGGGCACTCATTGAAATACTCATTGGCAAAACCATGGAGTTTTACTGGGGGCTTATTACAAGACTTTTGATCTTTTATGACTTAGTGTCAGAGAACTGATCATATATACTTCTATTGCTTGATAAATGGTTAAGGCACAAATGTAGCTAATAGACAATGGCTCTTCATGTAATAATGTGTAGTCACATAAAATACCTAATTTACATTTACCAGAAGTTATAGGTTGAAACTGCATTAATTTCAGTAATAATCTGTATGCTTCTGTTACCTTACATAACAGGAAAAATGCATTTTGATTGATATATTATACTACTGAATCATAACTAAGATTACATATTTATTAGTAAATACTATTTAGAAATGGTTTGAGATAGCATTTTTGCCGAATAGGCAGTATTAAAAGTATTTTATTTAAATGTTCTCTCTCTCTTAATATGTAAATGACAACATCTCAATGATTGTCAGGTAAAACATTGATGCATTAATCTGTTTTTATGCATCTGGTAATGTTTTAAATTGGTTTCCATTTCAGCAAGGTTTATTTTGCAATGCCATCAGATTAATTAATATTTTTTATGTCCAACTTAGCTAAACTTGGTGAAGGCTATGCAGATTGAACATCTATGTGAATCATTTATGAATGTCATTGATCTTTCATTGATTTCAGTGGCTGGCATTCCTCCAAAGATGCTTGTGGAGGCACATGGAACATTTGCCACTGCCACATGCACAGTTTGTCGGAGGGATTACAAAGGAGAGGAACTTCGGGTAAGTATATGTCATTGAACTATTGAATATTTAACCCATGGAACTGCACTTTCAAATAAACCCATAATTGCCCAGCTCATTTATAAACATGCATCTCTGCCTCAACCTAATGTTAAATGTCCTGTGAAATTAAAATCAATATTTTTAGATGTTAGTATCAGCATGATATCTATAATCTAGTGTGCTCCAAAATTCACATATATAGAGTATAAAACTAATATAAACATCCAACATACAAAGCTTGCAGTTTGTCATCTTCGCCTAAATCGATCAACATTTTTTTTCACGTAACCTCATACTTCAAGTTCTCAATAAGTCTTTACCAATCAAATGCTCTCCAGTATCTGACATGCCCCACCCCCTTCAAGATGCTACTCTTTCCTTTTTTCCTTTTTTTTTTTTTTAACTATTTAATGTGCTTGATCTGAACCACAATCACTGGCAGTGCTGTGATAAAAAAAAAAAAAACTTTTGACCTATTGTTTTTTTATGGGGGAGGAGCTACTATGTTTTCAGTTCAATTCATGTTTATTTCTATAGTGCTTTCACAATGTACGTAGATTGTGTCAAAGCAGCTTAATATAGACGTTCTAGTAAAGTCCAAACACTGAAGAGCAAATCCATCATGGAACAGCTCCACAAGTCCTAAGCAAGCCAGTGGCAGTGGCGAGGAACAAACTTAACCAATTGACAAAGTGAAGAAAAAAAAATTTGGAGAGAAACCATGCTCTGTTGGGCACGACCATGTCTCCTCTGGCTACATGTCTTGTGCAGAACTGCAATCTAGGCACTAGTGGCTGGAGAACACTGGACATCCGTTTTGGAGAAGCTGCATGTGTGAGTAGGTCACCAGCAAGGGTTCAGGTTGGCTTACAGGAATTAATCTCATGCCCTCCACTCCTCCATTACTGCCACAGCTTCTGCTCAGGATACGGCCTGGTCCAGGATTATGGAGACCTCTAGAAGTTCTTTATGGTTGGTGTCATCTCTTCACAGAACTTGGATGACATCAATGACTCTGCAAAATCTCTAGAGGCCTCAGGATGTGTATTACCAGGTGGAGATAGAGAACAAAGTAAAACAATTAGTGTAGCTGCTGTTCATAATGTATTTGAACTAGAGATATTAAATATCAATGCAAAAAAGAAGTGCTTTAAATGAAAATCGCAGATATATAAACAAACATGTAAAGCATATGAGTGTTTCTAACAAAATGTCTGGTGCATTAAGACAGGAGGAGTGTGCCCTAAAGGTGGTTGTCAAGCCCGCTCACCTGCGTGAAGCACACTCATGCATCATACCTTTATGTGATGCATTGTGTGTTTGCATTACTAAAAAGATAGGTATTTAATCTAGTTTTTAACTGAGAGAGTGTGTCTGAGCCTCGGACATTATCAGGAAGAATTTTTCAGAGTTTAGGGGCCATAAATGAGAAGGCTCAACCTCCTTTAGCGGACTTTGCTATGGTACGACTGGAAGCCCTGAGTTTAGAGATCTTAAAGAGCGGGTTGGTTTGTAATGATATTTTATAAACGATACAGAACTTAACAGGCTCTCAAATATGTCCTGCCCTTTCTTCATTTTTTTTAAATTGAGATAATCAATTTAAACGTCAAAAATCAAATAAAACTTTTCAAAGCACTTCACATAACCTTTAACTAAACATTTTTTGTTGTGATTTAATAATGGGTTTTATTTAGAGATTCTGACTGAAGGCTGTTTCTCAATAGGATGACATCATGGCAGGAACAGTACCCAAATGCCCAACTTGTAAAGGAATCATCAAGCCTGACATTGTGTTCTTTGGTGAGGAGCTTCCACAGCACTTCTTCACCTACCTTACAGACTTCCCAATAGCAGACCTGCTCATTGTGATGGGAACATCTCTTGAGGTGAGGAAAAGCTCTGCGTCTTTAATTTTAAGTTTTTCTTTAATGCTGGATTCTAGAAATAAAACGAATGAAATAGGAGGCCAAACCTGTATATTGCCAAAGGCTATAGAATACACAAGGCATGTAATTTCTAAATGTGTAATTTTAAACATTGCAAATGAAGCCCCACCTTCTAGTACAGGAGCCAATCATAGATAGAAGGAAAGATCTGGGGCCTCATGTACGAAGACTTGCGTGGAAATCTTACTAAAACATTGCGTACGCACAAAGCTGTAAATGTGCGTACGCAGAAAAAAATTCAGATGTATGAAACACTGCGTACGCCGAATCTCACGCATATTCTTTTGTACATCTGAATGAACGTGAAACTGAGAGCAACATGCACGAGCACAAAACCCCTCCCTGCCTCCTCCCCCGTATGAATATGCTAATGACTATGCTAATGGCAAAACCCAACGAAAAAGCAATGGTAAAATCAAGCAAAAAGAGAAACTTTGAACAGAATGTGAATTGGAGGTGCTGCTTTCGGAGGTAGACCGGAGAAAAGCGGTGTTATTTGCAAGTTTGTTCTCCAGAATTAACAACAAAAGAAAAAAATAGAGTGGGAGAGTTTAGCTGATACGGTTAACACAGTTGGGTCTGAACATCGCACTGAGTGCATTTAAAACAGAAATAGTGTGGTTTATAACTGAAAAATGTTGCAGTACCCTTGGCAGTCTCAGTGGCGCACCTCGTAAGAAGCATGTGATCATGTACTGACATGTTCGAGCATTAACTCGGCTCGAATCCAGCGTCTAATAAATTCTTTCTTTTTCCCCCGCTACATATCAGATTTTGCCCACTATTTATCAAGAGAAAGACAAGTAGGAATCATCAATAAGTTTGTGCATCATATTTTATTTGCACATTTATTGAATGGAAATGTTTCTGATTCACGCATGCAAATTCATCTTCAGATAGTGTCTTTATAGCAATGTGCGTGCGGTAGATCGCTCAGATTACGTTGGGAAAACAGGCGACCGCTGCAAATTGTGCTTTAATGTTTAGCTGGTCAAATGTATGGTATGGAAATCTTACATACCTACTATATGAACCCGTCTCATACAGCTGCTATTGCAAGGGTCAGACACTTTGTTGAGAGGAATTTAACACAACTGCCTCTAGGAGTCGCCAATGGAAATAATACAGACACGCACAAAAAATGTGCGTACGCCTGCCAGAAAGCTGCCGTGAACCTGCGCACATTCCCACGTTCAGTTCATTGTTAGTAAATCCAAACGTGAGCGATTCTGAGCGTGAAACCTGGCGTACGCAAAGTTTTTGTGCGTACGCAGCGTTGATACATGAGGCCCCTGGAAACTACTAACCCTAACCTGGTTATTTTATTTGACTATGGGTCATGTCTACATGGCCTGCACTTAAAAGTACATAGTTGAGTTTTTGAGTGGTTTTAACCAAATTAAATAATACAGTCAATTATCATTGATAATGAAAGTAATGATAAATAATATGATTGTCCATTCATCACACTGACACTTCAGGATTATGGAGACCTGGACCTCAGAAATTAGTGAATGAATTGGAAGAGAGTAATTAAGATATATGTAAATAAATAAATAAGACAGTAATATGCATATAGGTTGTTGTTCTCGTAGCAAAAAAGACTGACAGGCTTATCAGACTTATTATATAAGACTGAAGGGCTTGTTAATGTGAAAATAACTTCCCAATATATGTTATTACACTTATCACACAGCTGCTTGCCACAAAAGTAAACATTGGGAGCACCATTTAAAAATTAAAGGAAGAATCAAATTATTAATTTAATAAATAAATATATAATTCACAATTCACAAATAATAAGACATATTTAAATGTGTCTATTTAAATATATTTTTTGAAAATATTTTTTTGATACATCTAAACAGCTAAACAGAAGATTGTTTCAGCACATTTCTAAGCATAATAGTTTAAAAACCTATTTATAATAACTGATTTATTTTATCTTTGCCATGATGACAGTATAATATTTTACTTGATAAATTTCAAGACACTTCTATACAGCTTAAAGTGACATTTAAAGGCTTAACTAGGTTAATAAGGTAAACTAGACAGGTTAGAGTAATTAGGCAAGTTATTCTAAATGATGGTTTGTTCTGTACACTATCGAAAAAAAAATTAGCTTAAAGGGGCTAATAATTTTGTCCCGAAAATAATAAAAAAAAATTCAAAACTGCTTTTATTCTAGCCAAAATAAAACAAATAAGACTTAATATATTATAAAATATTATCAGACATACTGTGAAAATTTCCTTGCTCTGTCAAACATCATTTGGGAAATATTTTAAAAAGAAAAAAAATCAAAAGGGGGCTAATAATTCTGACTTCAACTGTATATATGTTTTTGAGTGTATTACACCTCTTAAGAGGTTATTGAGTGAATGGTGTTTGTGGTTTGCCCTGAATTACAGTTCTGACTTTTATTTTCAAACTGTCTGCTATTTTATTTTAAAGATTTTATGTACTTTCAGTAGCCTAGTTTGGAAATAAAGCACATAATCTGTACCTAAGGTGATCTTTGTCATAGAAATATATGTTGTTGTTCTGCTGCAACATCATAGAAATAGAAAGCTTTTTAAAATAGAATTTTTTGCACATGACAGTCGCAGATGCTTAGGACAAAAACTCCTTTTATCATGGAAAAAATACCTTTTATTGTGTGTCGTGGCTTCACGTCATGTGTTTTTAGCACACTGTGCAACAATTATTTAGCTTTTCATTATATCTAATAAAATGTCTGTTATTTCATCTTCTCAGAGTATTATATTTATCGCACATCCTTTGTTTAATTAAAATGGTTGTGTCCTTAACAGCAAATATTGAGCACAATTTAATTAGAAATGACTTCTGACTGCTGCTATAGCAGTTTACCAGTGCAGAGTGTTTGCTGAAGCCAATGTGGTGTTATAGAGCTTCATTACCAGCAGATGTCACAATAGAATCATGTGGTGGTTACTGCTGTTAAACAGGCCTGTTTTCTGGATCGTCAGGTGGAGCCCTTTGCAAGTTTGGCTGGTGCTGTGCGTGGTTCTGTACCAAGGCTTTTGATAAATCGAGACCTTGTGGGGCCGTTTGCCTCGGGGTCCCAACGTCACACTGACGTGGCTGAGCTGGGTGACGTGGTTAATGGGGTAAAAAAGCTGGTGGAGCTCCTGGGCTGGAAGCAGGAATTAGAAGACTTAATGAATGTTGGCAGAGACAAGGTGAGTTATAATCAACCACACTTCTTAATATAAATCACTTCAGTAGATGCATTCAGACTAGTCTGCTGTACTCGGAAGAACATTCTTGATGTGTTGCATTCTGTAAGAGTTATGAAGAGGTACAATTTTAATGGTTTTCTTGCAGCAGCATGTATCAACTTATATAAGGGATAGTTCATTATACCTTATAACTATACCTTAAAGTTCACCCAAAAATGAAAATTTACTCACTATTTACTAAGGGTGTTCAAATCTGGATTTTTTTGGAGTCGAATCAGATTCTCGACTCCTAATTTGGGGGTCGGTGGAATCAACTGTGAAATCAACTCCATTTACATTTACTTAAAACAGCGCAAGGATTAATGCTGTATCATGTCACGCTTTATACAATGAACAGTTAACTGTATATATTTGAACAGTTAACACAATGTAATGTTTAACAGTATTAGAATCTATTTTCTGTTAGAGTTAGTGCTCATAAATATCCAAACCTTAAAATTAGAATAGAATAAAAATAAATAGAAATATGAATAAAGCTACATGTATAAAATAAAGATTAAAATGTATTGAATTTACTACTGACACTTTCATGTCTTTTTCAAGGAAACAGCTGCTTTATAACTTCAAATATTTGTCATAAATATGAGTATATTAAAGGGTAGCTAAATCTCCAACACTATTCTTTAAAACATCACAATGTCCTTTTCTGCAATATCTGAATATATTTTTGTAGGAGCCTATTTGTTCGGATTTAATAATGTTATATGCTTCATTTTAGTTTTGAATAATTTTGTTTTGAATTGTTTGCATTTGAGAACTTAGAATATGTGTTGTTCAGATGGATATTCTGTGCATTTGGCATTGAGGATATGTAGCATGTTAAAAATTGTGTGCGGGCTCTTCAAGAGCTGCGTCTGTCAAATCTGACAGCATTGGGTTCTTTAGAAGACAGCGGAGTCACAGTTTTCTTTACCGCATACGCAATGGTTGAAATTTGAGGTTACTTTTTGTTTAGTTTATTTTAATTTATTTATGCATCTCTGAGTGAAGATTAAAAGTCAGCATCTGACAAGAAACAGACTGCATAGATTTCTTTTTTGGACATCATTAACTTGCAAGCTGCATTCTGCTAATTCTGGAGCTGCGGTAAAATAATGAGTAAAAAGATTGAGGCTATGGTCAAATAAATAAGTGAATGAAAAAACTGTGACTGCTCAGAGTGCCGGCAGTTAGGGACACCTGCCTTCGTGGCCAAAAAATGGACCTGCCCATCGGAAATACTCCCAATACCTCCAATTCTGGCCTGAATAGCTTACAAAATTAAATTGCAATCATAAAGACAGAAAGTTAAAACATCAATTAATCATCAAAATGTTTAATTGAAAGATGTGTAGCAGTTCATTAACAAAGAAAAAAAAAATCCCCAATTGAGCCCAAACAATGTTTTTTTTAATCAAAAAATAGTCAAAATATGAAACTTTTGATTACTTTCTTTGAGATTTTAACAGATATGTGTGTGTTGAGCATTAGTTAAGACAATGTTAGCACCTGTTAGCCTTAATTGTGGGAAAAACTAGATAATTTTCAGCTTTTGTCAGCTAATTTTATCTCCCGAGTTTAAAATGATTTTTGGGGCGAAATCAATATTGGCGCGTAGCGCATAACTGCAAGTGCAGAGATGACTTTTCGGTTTCTTATTATTATTCATAGCAGAGTTTTTTTATCTTATGAGAATAGACGTTGTCTATTATCAGGAGTTCGTTCACATTTAGACACATCACCGTGCTGCTTTGTTCGTCTAAATCCTCCAGATTATCTGCAGGGCTAATTGTTAAAATAGACAGGGCAAGAGACCTGCTGCACTGAGTCTGCATTCAGACCTATGATTCAGACCCGAGGATTGAAGGAGAAGTCCTCATTAATAGTGTTTATATGAACACGATTATCTTTATAATGATATAAATTGTGGTTATCTGTATACAATGGTGTAAAGTAGCTAATTACAAATACTAAAATTACTGTAATTGAGTAGTTTTCTTCAGGAATTGTAATTTACTAAGTAGTTTTATAAATGTGTACTTTTATTCTTCCTTGAGTACATTTTTTAGTGCAGTATTGGTACTTTTACTCCACTACTTTCCTTCAACCTGCATTTTTCCCTGTCTATGGGGATTAGAAAAAAATAGTCCTGTGATTCCTGTGCAATAAAATCACACACAGAAGGTAAATCACATCGTAATGAACTCAAGACATCTCAAGACATGGGCGATTTATAACTGCTGCAAACTGTTTGGAAGCATTAAAAGTGTCCAAGAAGATGTCCACAATCTTTTCACGCATTGACCCAGAGACTGTTTAAATGCTTGTCACTGATGAGAAGATGACGGATGTTTACTGTATGATGACCGAAATGGCCTTAAACACCCAGCAGGCACAAGACGTCAACATGATGTTAGAATGACGTTGTACCCCAGTGTCGTGGGGATGTTGCATTTTGTTTGGAAATGAAAATCATGTTGACGTCAGAACTCAAGGTTAGGCCAACGTCCAACCTAAAACCAACCAAATATCAACATCTAATGATGTTACAGGTTGACATTGTGTGGACATTACCAATATGACGTCTATCAGATATTGGATTTCGATTGCCATACCTGATGAATAAATGTCAGTATTTGACGTCAATATGATGTTGGTTTAAGATGTTGGCTCGACGGTAGATCACTTTCCAACCACAACCAAATATCAATGTCATTTGACATCGAAATAACGTTGTCCTTAGACGCTGGCTCGACATAAAATTTTGGACACCTAACATAATGACCTAACTCTAACCTAATGTTAATGTCTTATGACATTGTGTGTCTGCTGAGCAACAAGATGCACTACAGAATGTTACGTTCACACACATGCACAAATTACAAGTAAATGCATCAGCTTTATACAGTGTAATACTCACTACACACTACTTTTGAGTACTTTAAAAAGAGATACTTTTTACTCATACTTTGAGTAATATTTTCAACAGATACTTTTACTCTACTTGCACTACATTTTTAGGCAAATAATGGTACTTTTACTTGAGTATGATTTTTCAGTACTCTTTCCAACACTGTCTGTATATGAACTTACGAATAACAAATGTAGTAGGGCATTAAATTACTGTTTATTTCTTTGCATTTTTACTTTGTAAACTGTAAAATCATGCGTCTCCTCATGGTTTGTGTCACATTTTGTGAGCTTACTGAGAACAGTTGTTCCCTCCCCTCGTTCTCCCCTGCTGGCTACGACCACTCCTGCCCTTTGCTCGCGGAGCTCCACGCCCATTATGATGCATCTTTTGAAAAAAATCAGAGGTAGACCTGAACCGAAAGTGAGGGGTGTCATGACCCTTTAATATAAAAGTTTGATACTTGAATACTGAGTAATGGGTGAATGAAATAATCTGGTGTTATCGCAGACGGTCACGCAAGGCAAGCCCCAAATTTGTAGCTGCTCATTTCTGTATTTTTTTAACAGCAACAGCTGCTCCAATCGATCAGTAAATAAAATAGCTAGATTTCAATTTGAGTTAATGATCAGTCAAATGTAAACCCCCAACACGAAATGTTTAACTTGATTAATTCATACATTAACAAACCTAAAATAAAAAATAAATAAAAGTAGCGTGACAAACTATGCCTTAAAGCATATCCTATTGTTCTCTCTCTCGTAAATTAGATTCTTAAAAATTGTACTTTTAGATATCCTCTTAATTTTAAATATCATTATTTGTTTTGTGCAATTTTTTGTTTATTGTAATTAAATTAGGGTGTTTTAATAGGACGGCATACGATAGAATAAAAGGAGTGAGTCAGAACTGTTTTTGAACAGTTAGCCTTTGCAATATTTTAATTTAAAATACTCTTTTTGAATCGAATTCCGTTTGGTATAATTTGTATCTTTATTTTAATGCAGCTTTGTTGTACACAATTAACAAAAAGATTGAATATTAGGTGAAATTAAGTGCGTTCAGGGCCAAAACAAAACCACAACCACACGTATTGTCAGATTTTGTGTCAATAAATAAATCTTGGCTACATTTGCCTTTCTGATTAGTGCTAGCTTTATTTATTTGTTCCTTCATGAAAAAGGGATAGGTTCAAAATTTTTTACTTGAGTATGTAGCAGCAGATAATAACATTCATTCATTCATTCATTCATTCATTCATTCATTCATTCATTCATTCATTCATTCATTCATTCATTCATTCATTCATTCAATCATTTTCTTTTCGGCTTAGTCTCTTTAATCTGTGGTCACCACAGCAGAATGAACCACAAACTTATCCAGCACATGTTTTGCACAGCAGATGCCCTTCCAGTTGCAACCAATCACTGGGAAACATCCTTACACACTCACACACTCACACACACACGCACACACACACACACACACACACACACACACACACACACACACACACACACACACACACACACACGCACACACACACACGCACACACACACACACGAACACACACACACTGGACAATTTAGCTTACCCAATTCATCTGTAGCTCATGTCTTTGGACTGTGGGGGAAACAAGAGTACCCGGAGGAAACCCACGCAAATACAGGCAGAACATGCAAACTCTGCACAGAAATGCCAATTGACAAGGCCGAGGCTCGAACCAGTGGCTATCTTGCTGTGAAGCGATTGTGCTACCCACTGCCCTTTAGTGACACCAGCCAATAACAAAACATCTTAATTTTACCTGCAGTGCTAATGTAAGATGTCGATCCGCTATAAATTCACACTCATATATTATATTTCATTTATAACACAGCAAACTTGACATCGCAGGCAGATTATCTTTAAAACTTAAAATTGAAAAAAATGAGTGTTTTATAGGAATTTTAAAGTGAAAGCAAGCTTCATCCCACAGCATTTATAATATTTATAATATCATAGAGTACTCGTAGTCAAGAAATTCAAAAGCGTAAAACGTGTGAGCATGCATTTAAAGCTGGTGCCTTCAGCAGGCCTGGATTGGCTAATCGAGAGGACTGGGAGAATTCCCGGTTGGTGGGTTCGTTTTTTTTTGGCCACAAGGGCTGGTGTCCCTAGCTGCCTGCAATATCAACAGTCACGCTTTTTTCATTTATTTAGTTATTTATTTTACGATAGCCACACTCTTTTTCTTCATTATTTTACCACAGCCCCATTTTTATTTATTTTCTTGCAGCCCCATGAGCAGATTGCAGCCTGCAGGTTAATGATGACATAATTCGACTCCCCAACAGTGGCTTCTTGCTCATCAGCTAAATCATTTGTCAAGAGATATGCGGGAGACGAAAAATTGAAAGGTGGCACTGGAAAGGCCAACATTTAAAAAGCTGAGTATATTTTTTGTTAAAACCAGCTGCAGCGAGAGTATAGTAACACACAAAGACGATGAAACGACTGGTGAGTTAACATAAAGCTAGTTAGGAGCAGTGCAAAACAACAATGTCTGCAGACCACCGTTTATGTAGCAAACTTTTTCTTGTACTGCAGCTCTTCCACAGCAGCAGCCTTTTGTCAAGTTTGCTGCTAACAGTAAAGAGCCTGGCTTCGTAACATTACCAAGCACCAGCCATGAGCCCAACACACTAGTTTGGGCAGGTAGGATTGAGTGAATATAAGAATTCAAATTATTCTTAATATTAATGAATATTACACATGCTGAATGAAAAATGCCCTGATACAATTAATGAAATCATATGATTCACTACATTAATAAATCTGAATTGATCAGAAAGCTAAAATGGGGAAACAATATGAAGCCATCGTTAGAAAGTAATACTGTGGTTGAAATGTCTGGCAGATAACAGTGTAATAGTTGTTTTATTCTTTATTTGTGTCTAAGGACTGGATATCTGTAAACAATTCTGTACAGAATATTGGAGATTTAGCGATTGTTTAATGTTCTCATATTTATGTAAAATATTTGAAGTTATAAAGCAGCTGATTCCTTGAAAAAGACATAATAGTTTCATTAGAAAATTAAATACGTTTAATTAAAAATTTATTTTATACATGTAGCCTAATATATATTTGTTTTATTTGATTTTTTTTTTTTCATTTGAAGGCTTGGATGTTTATTACCAGTAATTCTTACATTGAAGCACTGAATTGGAAATTACGTTATTTAATATATTCAGTAGTGAACTGAAGTGGGCCGCTCTAAGGCCTGAAACTCCAGACCTGAAAAGGAGTCTGGTCCCACTTTATATTGTGGCCTTAACTAATATGTACTTACACAGGATTTAATAGTTTGTTACAATGTACTTATCGTGTAAATACATGTATTTATTGTGTACGTATGCTTGATTAAACACCTGTATGTAATTACATCTGTAATTAACTTCTGTAGTTACATTTGTAAATACACTGTTGACCATCCCTTACACCTTAACCCACCCTTAAACCTACCCATATCACCAAACCTTTCCATAACCCAACCCCTATCCCAACTCAAGAGCACCCCAAGTGTTCTCAAATACATTATAAACACAGTAAGTACGTTGTATTTATTTTTTGATGCAAGTACATAGTAGTTAAGGACACTTAAAGTGGAACCAGGAGTCCCACTCCGCCTCTTGCCTTCGGTGTACATCATGCTCCAGAAAGAGCATTATAACTACTTCATTCGGGAGGGATTGAAAAAGCAGACTCGACTCTGGGTGACGATTCCTATCCTGGGGTCAATTCCGATATTAGATCTATTGATCGACTCTTTTGGAGTGGACTCCCCATCCCTACTATTTACTGATTCTCAAGTGTTTTCACACCTGTTTAAGTGTCTTCTGTTAAACACAAAAGAAGATATTTTGAACTGAAAACCATTGACATGACCATAGTAGAAAAAACAAATTACAGGTTACAGTTACAAGTTCCTAACATTTTTCAAAATATGTTCTTTTTGCTTAACAGAAGAAAAAAAACTCCTAAAGGTTGGAAATGAGTCAGTTAATGAATTGAATGATTTTTGGGTAAACTATCACTTTAACCTTAAAGATTGATACAATTTTTAAAAAATATATAAAACAGATCAATCAATATGGTAACACTTTAGTATAGGTCACAATGCATGCTATTAACTACTGGCTTATTGCCTGCGTATTATTAAGTTATTAACTGTTTATTAGTAGTTCAAAGTATGATCTTATTCTGCATCTCTACTCCTACCCAAAACCTATACCCAATTATTACCTTACTAACTATTAATAAACAGCTAATTAGGCTGCATTTACTCTGCATAATTCAAGTGACTCAATTTTTTTTTTCTCATATGGCACAGATCGGATATGGCCTGTGTGCATGAAAACAGGAAAAAATCACATGGATTTTGATTTACTCAAATCAAATTCATGCTTTGTTCTCATGTGGAATTTTATCTTATATGAATTGGATCTGTGCCCTCGTGTCTGCAGTGTAAGCCGGAAGATCAGATTTTCAACTGTCAATGCGAGTCGCGCATCATTAAAAACCCTAGCGAATGATGTCAAGTCTGATGCTTTCATTTTGGAATAGACTTCATGCCAAATACCCACACCTTAATACTCATATGGACCAAAAAATCTTTTATATTGTCACACCCGCCACAAAACCAATATAAAGTATTATAAAACTGTGGCACGTGCATAAATCACGCCATGAACATTACATTAAGATACTTACTGGTTTAAAAAGTCCTAGATTAAAAGAAGATGGCCAAATGAGAACTTTCTGTCATGAACTATAGTAAAACAACAACTTGTGAAAAATAATTTTTTTAAATTAAACCCTGTTAACAGATTAAATACAGGAACGGAGAAAAGGCTGCTTTTATTATCCGCTGTCAGTCAGTGCCTGCTCTTTTTTCCTCTGGTCTTTGCATCTTTGCCATGTGCAGTGTAAATACAGACAATCAAATACAAGTCACTTTTAAAAGATGATGTAAGCAGCAGGTCAGCAAAAACATCGGATACAGTCACAAAATCGGAATCAACCTTCATGATCTGCAGTGTAAATGCAGCCTTAGTCATTTATTAAGCTAGGAGTGTTAGTTAAGGTTTTGTTAATGCTGTGAATACTGTAAAGTGTTAACATCAATACAAATCTGTATTCTCACTTTAAATCCCTAAAGCTTTAGCCATCAACAGTTTTCTTTTCTGTCTTTTCCTATACAGTAGTCTTCGGTGGAGAGAGAGGAGTGAGCAAGGAGGAGTGATGGAGTGATGGAGTCCTGGGACTAGTTTGATTTATTTCTGCCTAATTTACTGAACATTCACTGGTTGGCGTGAGTTTTAGTTGGTGTCAAGAAGATGCACTTGAGTATATACTGGGTTGAGGAAGAAGATCCAAATCTACTGTAAATAACCAGGTCACCTCTACACACACCTCTACGAAATGTAGTGTATAATTCACAAGCAAATAATGATTTCAATAATGAAGCAAAACGCACTAACATTTTATCATTTTAGTTTTTATCTTGAACAGTATGGCAGTGGATATGATTAATTTATTCTGTAGCTAACAGCAATGTTCAGCTGGTCAGTTAATCTCAGTGAGGTTACTCACATAAAGAAAACCCCACTATGATGAAAGAATAAAACAGCTTTTTCTAGAATATGAGCGGACTCTTTATGTTAAGTGAGTTTATATCAGTTTTATGACTATTTGACTGTTCTTACCACTAAAATCTGGAAAGCAGGGACTTCTCTTTATTTTATATTAGATAAACTTTTCACTTAAAACCTTAATCTGGTGAGCATCAAGAATAAGCTTCAGACAACTACTCCAGATTTTATTTTTAACACAATATTTCTGAATGTTTGACTTGATCTGTCTTATCTTGCATAGTAAGTAATTTTTGCTTTGAAACAAACAGAGAACAAGTGGGATTGATTATGCATGTTACATCATCAAATAAAACATGGAAAAAGATCTTGTGTTAAGCATAGAGCTTATTTAAGGCTTTTAACAAAACACTTTTAAAAGGCCAATAATGAAAATATACAATTGAAGTCAGAATTATTAGCCCCCCTTTGAACTTATTTTCTTTTTTAAATATTTCCTAAATGATATTTATCAGAGCAAGAAAATTTTCAGTTTGTCTAGTAATATTTTTTCTTCAGGTAAAAATCTTTGTTTTATTTTGGCTATAATAAAAGCAGTTACTATCTTTTTAAAACCATTTTAAGGTCAATGTTATTAGCCCTTTTAAGCATTTTTTTTTATAGTCTAAAGAGCAAACCATCATTATACAATAACTTGCCTAATTACCCTAACCTGCCTAGTTAACCTAATTAACCTAGTTAAGTCTTAAAAAATCACTTTAAGCTGTATGAAAGTGTCTTGAAAATATCTAGTAAAATATTATTAACTGTCATCATGGCAAAGATCAAAGAAATCAGTTATTAGAGATGAGTTATTAAAACTATTATGTTTAGAAATGTGCTGAAAAAAATCTTCTCTCCGTTAAACAGAAATCGTGGAAAAAAATACAGGGGGGGTCTAATAATTCAGAGGGGCTAATAATTTTCACTTCAAATATATTTATTATGGGGTATGGTTTTAATTTTTGAGGAAAATAATGAATTGTGGAAAAAGTGAAGAGCTGTGAATACTTTCTGAAAGTGCTATATACAGATGAATGCAAAATTATTAGCCATATAAAAATTTGTATTATTTTCAAATATTTCTCATGTGCTGTTTAATAGAGAGATTTATCTAACCCAGGCTCATTCTGAAAATGCTATAAACATTTCTGGAGATTGTGAAATACATCCCAGGAGCTATTTCCACCAGAGGCCACTGTGTACGCTTTTTTGAGATCCCAAATTTCTTTTGTGAGTGCCATTCACACCTGCTGTTCTCACTTAAATCCCCCAGAGGCCGCTGTCGACTGACTGACTGACTGACTGACCCACCCTCCGTCCCAAACCCAACCAATGGTGTTTTCAAAAGCACCTATTGACTTGCGGTGGAACGGCGTCATTCCACCCTATAGCTTTCATTTTAAAGATGAATTGCAGCCTTACATAACTCTGGCTACATAATTTGCGGTCTTCAAAAAAGAATACAGGGCTACGTTTTCAGAATGAGTTGGATTTATCAGCACCTTTCTAATAATTTCTTTTGTCTTAGCCATGATAACAGTACACTACATAATTTTTTTTAGTTATTTTGCAAGATATTAGTGTCAAGCTTAAAGTGTTTCACGGCTTAATTAGGCTAATTAGGGAAGACAGGTTAATTAGCCAAGACAACAGTAGTTTGTTCTCAACTCAATTAGAACCTATTACTGCAAAAATATAACTGCAAAAAGCAATTTTATAAGGGGTTTAGACACAGTTGTGTGGCAAGTGTGTGGATATAACTAGCTTTTAATAGTGAAATGTAGTAATTATATTTTTTATAATCACACTTAAATAAAAAAAAAAAAAAAATCACAATAAAAACAGTCTGCAGAAACACTTTGATTGACATTCTCCCTTTCTACGTCATCAGAGGGGAAAGCCCCTCCCATCATTGATGATCTCACCTTTATTTGCATATGTCATTAGCAGGGCTTGACATTAACTTTTTTCATCACCGCCACTGTGGCTAGTAGATTTCCAACATTACTAGCCACTCACCATTTTCACTAGCCACAATTTTGTTGTTGGGAAAAATATTTTATACACATGAATATGACTTTGGCATGCTAAAATCACTTGATTTAGACTATGTGCTATGTCTACAGTACATACCTCAATAATTTCACTTTTTTGTGTATGAACTTGCTTAATGTGTATGAGCAAATGGGATGGGGTTTCATGGTGGTGCATTGCAATTCATTTTTATTTCACATGACTTTTCGGGCTTGATATTAAGAATTTACAAAATTGATCTGACCACAAAAAAAAAAAAAAAAAAACATATATTATTTCTTATCCTCAAATGTTAAATAATGTCAAAAACTTACAAAATATAACTGTATATGCTCCTTTTATTCAACAAAACCCTTCTTAAAAAACAATTATATTTAAAAAAATAAAAATTTTATTAATTTTATTAATTTATTAATTAGTTATTAATTTTATTAAAGAAACACTTTGATTGACATTCTCCCTTTGTCCATGTCCAAAACATTCACCCTGTTGTCCTTAAAGCACATTGTAACTAATTTGGCAGTATGCTTAGGGTCACGGTCTGTTTGGAGACCCATTTGTGGTCATGTTTTTAATTTTTTTCTTCATGATGCCCTCTATGCTGTGAAGTGGACCAGTCCCTCATGCAACAAAACAGCCTCACAACATGATGCTACCAACCCCATACTTTACAGTTGAGATGGTGTTCTCAGGCTTGTAAGCTTTCCCCTTTGTCCTCCACTGGTCATTATGGCCAAGCAGTTCAATGATTCTTTTTCCCAGTGTAATTTAGCAAATTGTAATCTGGTTTTCTTTTTGTTGATTCTGGCTTGTTGATTTTCCCATGTTGTCACACAAGGAAGCAGTGTGTTTGAGGTTTTCCTTTAATACTATTGTACAGTTGTCCCTCCAATTCATTTAAATGTTGTCAATTAGCCAATGAGAAACTTCCAAAACCTTGACCTCATCATCTGAGCTTTTTCAGAGGCATTATAATCTTATTGTATGTAAACTTGACTTTCTAGAAAAGTTATAACAATTTCTCAAAAAAAAAAAAAATATCTCTCTCATTATTCTGCTATTAAGTGTAACAGAAACAAATTTGATAATCCTAACTAACCTAAAAAAGAAAAGTTTAGACACACTAACATCTGACTTTTTTTAATGGTTATGTGCCTTTTTATACACTGTATGTAAACTTCTGGTTTTAACTGTAGATTGTGCCATCAAACACGTGAAAACTAAAGTAATGACCGTGGTTTACAAATGTAAGGAGTAGAAAGTAAAACGTCAAAAAATTAAGTAGTGGAGTAAAATATTGATACCAGAAAAATCTACTTAAGTACAGTAACAAAGTATTTGTTCTTTGTTACTTCCCATCTCTGGCATAGACAGCCCTGAGTGAAAAGCAGCCAATTTGAATCTGCCACTATGGGCACGTTCACACTATGCCATCTGAACCGTGCCCAGGCCCGTTTCCCGGATCGTTTGAGAAGTGTGAGTGCTCTGAATCGGGGTCAGACATGGTTCACTTGGCCGGTCATGGCCCGGTTGGAAGAGATGTGCCTGAGCATGGTTCACCTGGGCTTTGGCACGGTACACTTGTGTGTGACTGCAAAATGTGCCTAAGCCCGAAACTGAAAGTGAGACGTGACATTTAAGGGAATGTTTGATACGTATTTATTATCATTCTTACTGTTCAATGAATGCAAACTGTCGTAAATTATTAAAGACGCAAATCCCTCACTGCACCACAGCTGCGCCTTCAGCAAACCTCCTCATTCCTGCAGCACGAGGACTTTATGACTGTTTATGAGCGTCAGCAGTGGCTGATCTGTTCTGCGAAATATTTGACTGTGTCACTGCATATCAAACGACTTAAACAATTTAGCAGTAAGAAGTCTCCACTGTGCTCAGTAAGAGCACTTGCAAAACAGCGTAGCATCGATGACTTAAGCGTGCCCAGGCTCGAATGTAATGTGAATGCGGGCCGACGGGGAGACGGGAGGGAGGACAAGCGTGCTTTGGCCCAGTTCAAGGCAACTGTACATAGTGTGAGTATGCCCTATGCTGACACATAGCTGGCGTTTGCAGCTTCGTCTTCTTGGAGCTGGGAGGAGGCCTGTGAGCTCAATTTAATTAGAATTTAAAGTGACAGTCACCAAAATGGCAAAATTTAGATCAAAGCCGGAAAGCGTCAGTTTCAAAGAGTTATGTACCATTATCTGTGTGGTATAATGAGCTGAAACTTCACATACACACTCTATGGACATTAGAGACTTAATTTACATCTTGTAAAAAGGGGCACAATGGGTAGTGTGAAATATTAAATATTTAAATAAATTAAATATTTCTGTCATCGTTGTGTTAAAGACACCAATTGTTATCTAATGCCATTTATATATTTAAGAGTAATTTCCTAAACATCCATCCATATATGTTGAGTTAGCAGTAGATGCAAATTTGCTGTTACACAATAACACCACTTCTGCCTCAATCTTCTGACACAGCCCACATTCAGATGTGTCATTTGTTAAGAAAAGCAAAGTGTGTCTGGTTTTGATTTGACATGTAATGCCGTGCCCTACGTTGTTTTGACATTGCTGGATTGAAAGAAAAAGAAAAGCCCAGCGCTTGTCGCATTCATGAATTGACACACAATGAGGAGAATAGTTACAGGCTGGTAATGACTTTTTGAGAAGCGGAGCACTTTTTGTTTGGCCGTTTTGTCTGTTGAGAAGGTGAACTGCTCAGTTCATTGTGTGTCACCGTCTGCATGCCAAGTAAGTGACAGACACTACCTCTCTGTTTAATTCAGTCTGGACAGCCAGTCTGTGGCTTGGTACTATACAGGGTCTGAATGCGAGAAGCAAAACAATACCCTCAATTAACCCTCATTCAAAATGTCTAAAAAAAAATGCTAGTTTTCAAAAAGCACATTATTTGTCATGGGACAGACAGCCAGTGAAAAACAGGAGAAGAATGGTTGATTGAACC